AGAGAGGAGGAGAAGAAGAAGAAGAGGAGAAGAAGAAGAAGAGGAGGAGGAGAAAGAGAGAAGAGGAGAAGAAGAAGAGAAGAGAGAAGAGAGAGAAGAAGGAGGAGGAGAAAGAGAGAGAGAAGGAGGAGGAAGAAGAGAGAAGAGAGAGGAGAAGAGGAGAGAGAGAGAGGAGAGAGAAGGAGGAAGAGAGAAGGAGGAAGAGAGAAGGAGGAAGAGAGAAGGAGGAAGAGAGAAGGAGGAAGAGAGAGGAGGAGAGAGAAGAGAAGAGGAAGAGGAGAAGAGAAGAGAAGAGAGAGGAGAGAGAGAGAGAAGAAGGAGAAGAGAGAAGAAGAGGAGAGAGAAGAAGAAGAAGAGAGAGGAGAAGAAGAGAAGAAGAAGAAGGAGAAGAAGAGAAGAAGAGAGGAAGAAGAGAGAGAGAGAGAAGGAGAGAAGAAGAGAGGAGAGAGGAAGAAGAAGAAGAAGGAGAAGAGAAGAAGAAGAGAGAGAAGAGAGAGAGAGAAGAAGAAGAGAGAGAAGAGGAGAGAGGAGGAAGAAGAGAGAAGAAGAAGAAGAAGAGAGGAGAAGAAGAGAAGAAGAGGAGAGAGAGAGAGGAGAGAGGAGGAGAGAAGAGAAGAGAGAAGAGAAGAGAGAGAAGAGAGAAGAAAAGAGGAGGAGAGAAGAAGAGAAGGAAGAGAGAAGGAAGAAGAGAGAAGAGGAGAGAGAGAGAGAGAGAGAGAAGAGAGAGAGAGAGAAGAGGAGAGAGAAGAAGGAGGAGAGAGAAGAAGAGAGAGAAGGAGAAAGAAAGAAGGAAGAGAGAGAAGAAGAGAAGAGAAGAAGAAGAAGAGAAGAGAAGAAAGAAGAAGAGGAGGAGAAGAGAAGAGAAGAGAAGAGAGAAGAAGAGAAAAGAGGAGAAGAAGAAGGAGGAGAGAGAGAGAAGAAGAAGAGAGAGAAAGAAGGAAGAAGAGAGAGAGAAGAGAAGAGAGGAGGAGAGAGGAAGGAGAAGAGAGAGAGAGAGAGAGGAGAAGAGAGAGAAGGAAGAAGAGAAGAAGAGAAGAAGAAGAGAAAGAGAAGAGAGAAGGAGAAGAGGAGAGAAGAAGAAGAGAGAGAAGAGAGAAGAGAGAGAAGAGAAGAGAGAGAGAAGAAGAGAGGAGGAAGAAGAGAAGGAGAAGAGAGAAGAAGAGAAAGAGAAGAGAGAAGAGGAGGAGAAGAAGAGAAGAGAAGAAGAAGAAGAAGAAGAGAGAAGAGGAAGAGAAGAGAGAGAAGAGAGAGAGAGAAGAGAGAGAAGAAGAAAGAGAAGAGAGAGAGAGAGGAGAGGAGAGAAGAAGAAGAGAGAGAGAAGAAGAAGAAAGAGAAGAGAGAGAGGAAAGGAGAGAGAGGAGAGAAGAGAGAAGAGGAGAAGAGAGAGAGAGAAGAGAGAGAAGAGAAGAAGAGAGAAGGAGGAGAGAGAGGAGGAGAAGAGAAGAGAAGGGAGAAGGAGAAGAAGAGGAGAAGAGGAGGAGAGAGAAGAAGAAGGAGAAGAAGAGAGAGAAGAAAGAGAGGAGAGAGAGAGGAGGAAGAGAGGAAGAGAGAAGAAGAAGAGAGAGAGGAAGAGGAGAGAAGAAGAGAAGAGAGAAGAAGAGAAGAAGAGAGAAGAGAGAAGAGAGAAGGAGAAGAGAGAAGGAGGAGGAGAGAGAGAAAGGAGAGAAGAAGAGAAGAAGAAGAAGAAGAGAAGAAGAAGAAGAGAGAAGAGGAGAGAAGGAGAGAGGAGAGGAGAAGAGAGAAGGAGAAGAAGAGAAGGAGAGAGAAGGAAGAGAGAAGAAGAAGAGAGAAGGAGGGAGAAGAAAGAAGAAGAAGAGAGAAGAGAGGAAGAGAAAGAGAAGAGAGAGAGGAGAGAGGAAGAAGAGAGGAAGAAGAAGAAGGAGAAGAGAAGAAGAGGAAGAGGAGAGAGAGAAGAGGAGAAAGAGAGAGACAGAGAATAAGAAGAGAGAAGAAGAGGAGAGAGAAGAAGAGAAGAAGAGAAGAGAAGAAGAGGAGAGAGGAGGCAAGAGAAGAGAAGAAGAAGAGAGAGAGAAGAGAAGAAGAAGAAGAGAGGAGGAGGAGAAGGAGAAGAGGAGAGAAGAAGAGAGGAAGAGAGAGAGGAGAAGAAGAAGAAGAGAGGAGAAGAAAGAGAGAAGGAAGGAAGAGAGAAGAGAAGAAGAAGAGGAGAAGAAGAGAAGAGAGGAGGAGGAGGAGGAGAGAGAAGAGAGAAGAGAGAGAGAAGAAGGAGAAGAGAGAGAGAGAAGGAAGAGAGAAGAAGAGGAGAGAAGAAGAGAAGAGAGAGAGGAGAAGGAGAAGAAGAGAAGAGAGAGAGAAGGAGGAGGAAGAGAGGAGAGAGGAGAAGGAGAGAGAGAGAGAGAGAAGGAGAAGAGAGGACAGAAGAAGAGAGAGAGAGAAGAAGTAAAGAAAGAGGAGGAGATGTGAGAAAAGAAGAGAGAAGAAGAGAAGAGGAGCAGAGGAGTGAGAAGAAGGAAGAGGAGAGAAGAAGAGGAGGAAGAAGAGAAAGAAGGAGAAGAAGAAGAGAGAAGAAGGAGAAGGAGGAGAAGAAGAAGAGGAGAAAGAAGAAGAGAGAAGAAGAGAAGAGAAGAAGAGAGGAGAGAAGAAGAAGAGAGAGAAGAAAAGAGAGAGAAGGGAGGAAGAAGAGGAAGAGAGAAGAGAAGAAGAAGAGGAGAGAAGAGGAGGAGGAGGAGAGAATGAGAAGAGAGAAGAAGTAAAGACCAGCAGACACATGTGAGAATAAGAAGAGAGAAGTAAAGACCAGCAGACACATGTGAGAATGGGAAGAGGGAAGAAGTAAAGACCAGCAGACACATGTGAGAATGGGAAGAGAGAAGAAGTAAAGAGAGAAGAGAAGAGGAGGAAAAGGAAGAGAGAAGAAGTAAGAGAGAGGAGAGGAATGTGAGAATGGGAAGAGAGAAGAAGTAAAGACCAGCAGACACATGTGAGAATAAGAAGAGAGAAGAAGTAAAGACCAGCAGGCACATGTGAGAATGAGAAGAGAGAAGAAGTAAAGACGAGCAACAGACAGCACAGACAAAATATGGTTTACTAATAGATTCAAACAGACAGCACAGCAAAAACATTTGCAAATACAGTACAACAGACAGCACATATGAAACAATCCTTTAGTAATACAGTACAACAGACAGCACATATGAAACAATCCTTTAGTAATACAGTACAACAGACAGCACATATAAAACAATCATTTAGTAATACAGCACAACAGACAGAACAGGCAAACAATCATTTAATAATACAGTACAACAGACAACACAGGCAAACAATAATTTGATAATACAAAACACTAGACAACACAGGCAAACAATTATTTAATAATACAGTACAAAAGACAACACAGGCAAACAATCATTTAATAATACAGTACAACAGACAACACAGGCAAACAATCATTTAATAATACAGTACAAAAGACAACACAGGCAAACAATTATTTAATAATACAGTACAACAAACAACACAGGCAAACAATCACTTAATAATACAGTACAACAGACAACACAGGCAAACAATCATTTAATAATACAGTACAACAAACAACACAGGCAAACAATAATTTAATAATACAGTACAACAGACAACACAGGCAAACAATTATTTAATAATACAGTACAACAAACAACACAGGCAAACAATAATTTAATAATACAGTACAACAAACAACACAGGCAAACAATCACTTAATAATACAGTACAACAGACAACACAGGCAAACAATCATTTAATAATACAGTACAACAAACAACACAGGCAAACAATAATTTAATAATACAGTACAAAAGACAACACAGGCAAACAATTATTTAATAATACAGTACAACAGACAACACAGGCAAACAATTATTTAATAATACAGTACAAAAGACAACACAGACAAACAATCATTTAAAAATACAGTACAAAAGACAACAAAGGCAAACAATTATTTAATAATACAAAACACTAGACAACACAGGCAAACAATAATTTAATAATACAGTACAAAGACAACACAGGCAAACAATAATTTAATAATACAGTACAACAGACAACACAGGCAAACAATAATTTAATAATACAGTACAACAGACAACACAGGCAAACAATTATTTAATAATACAGTACAACAGACATCATAGGAAAACAGCTTCTTACCAATACAGTACAACAAAGTGCTATACCTGCTGCCGCCATTGTTGTATCAAGAAATACTTCACGATGTCTAAATATGAGAACAGACTACGCGGAGATAACAATGTGGATATATGAGCCACCGTATAGTGGGTATACAAGACAAACACAGTAGAGAGAAGCTCTTGGCAACCTTCCCCGTATGACGACAAACAAGACACTGAGAGCCCCGGGCCGCCTGGACAACCGTGCCACAGCTGAGCCCCATCTTGTGCCAGCGTCGACATGAAATACTGTGCCCGGTGCCGAGGCTGGCCCAACAATATCTTTCAGGCATTCAGCCTAGGTTCCTGCTTTATCGCAAATAGGTCATAGCATAATTGTTCAGTTCCTATGCTACTCAAAATCGTTGTCTCATATGAACAGTCAGACAGAGGGCAGTACCGGCAAAATCCAACAGCACACATACGCATCAAGTGTATACATCAGCTTCGCCTACAGGTGCCAACCCTTACAGTCTGTCACTAGAATTGATTTCCCTAAATTCTAGAAGCAAAAACCCCGGGTATTTTGTTCCATACTTATGACTGTTAACTTAACGCCGGCAGCTTTTACTTCCCAGCACTTTACCTGGTTCATTTACTTTTTAAGTATCCAGAAACCATGAGTTGTTAACCCTTTGACTCGGTACTATGGATATCGCAACCCTTCGGCCTTGATTACATGATAGATACCGTAAATCTGGGAGAAGTTTACTGCATAAGCCACACCGCCAGTTGTGTGGCAGCCAGTCGCTTTCTGAACACTCAGTGAACGACACATACCTGCAGGAGCACAGGTCATTACACAAAAAACGCACAGCAAAGAATGAGTCATTGTGTCGTTTGTGAAACTGGACTTCGTCTTGACCCAACTTATTGTCCCCATTGCCCAGTGGCAATATCTATTAGACCCTTTCACTAGATCGATTACTGGGCAGAACAGGCTCTAACACATAAAGGCGAGGCAGGCTCTACCACGTTAAGGTGAGGTAGGCTCTACCACATGAAGGTGAGGCAGGCTCTACCACGTTAAGGTGAGGTAGGCTCTACCACATGAAGGTGAGGCAGGCTCTACCACATGAAGGTGAGGCAGGCTCTACCACATGAAGGTGAGGCAGGTTCTACCACATGAAGGTGAGGCAGGCTCTACCACATGAAGGTGAGGCAGGCTCTACCACATGAACGTGAGGCAGACTCTACCACATGAAGGTGAGGCAGGCTCTACCACATGAAGGTGATGCAGGCTCTACCACGTTACGGCGAGGCAGGCTCTACCACATAAAGGTGAGGCAGGCTCTAGCACATGAAGGTGAGGCAGGCTCTACCACATGAAGGTGAGGTAGGCTGTACCACATGAAGGTGAGGCAGGCTCTACCACATGAAGGTGAGGCAGGCTATACCACATGAAGGTGAGGCAGGCTCTACCACATAAAGGTGAGGCAGGCTCTACCACATGAAGTTGAGGCAGGCTGTACCACGTTACGGTGAGGCAGGCTCTACCACATGAAGGCAAGGCAGGCTCTACCACATGAAGGTGAGGCAGGCTCTACCACATGAAGGTGAGGCAGACTCTACCACATGAAGTTGAGGCAGGCTCTACCACGTTACGGTGAGGCAGGCTCTACCACATGAAGGTGAGGCAGGCTCTACCACATGAAGGTGAGGCAGGCTCTACCACATGAAGGTGAGGCAGGCTCTACCACATGAAGGTGAGGCAGGCTGTACCACATGAAGGTGAGGCAGGCTCTACCACATGAAGGCGAGGCAGGCTGTACCACATGAAGATGAGGCAGACTCTACCACATGAAGATGAGGCAGGCTCTACCACATGAAGTTGAGGCAGGCTCTACCACGTTAAGGTGAGGCAGGCTCTACCACATGAAGTTGAGGCAGGCTCTACCACATGAAGGTGAGGCAGGCTCTACCACATGAAGTTGAGGCAGGCTCTACCACGTTAAGGTGAGGCAGGCTCTACCACATGAAGATGAGGCAGGCTCTACCACATGAAGGTGAGGCAGGCTCTACTACATGAAGGTGAGGCAGACTCTACCACATAAAGGTGAGGCAGGCTGTACCACATGGAGGTGAGGCAGGCTCTACCACATGAAGGCGAGGCAGGCTGTACCACATGAAGGCGAGGCAGGCTGTACCACATGAAGGTGAGGCAGGCTGTACCACATGAAGGTGAGGCAGGCTCTACCACATGAAGATGAGGCAGGCTCTACCACATGAAGGTGAGGCAGGCTCTACCACATAAAGGTGAGGCAGGCTCTACCACATGAAGGTGAGGCAGGCTCTACCACATGAAGGTGAGGCAGGCTCTACCACATGAAGGTGAGGCAGGCTGTACCACATGAAGGTGAGGCAGGCTCTACCACGTTAAGGTGAGGCAGGCTCTACCACACGAAAGTGAGGCAGACTCTACCACATGAAGGTGAGGCAGGCTCTACCACGTTAAGGTGAGGCAGGCTTTACCACACGAAGGTGAAGCAGGCTCTACCACATGAAAGTGAGGCAGGCTGTTCCACATGAAAGTGAGGCAGGCTCTACCACATAAAGGTGAGGCAGGCTCTACCACATGAAGGTGAGGCAGGCTCTACCACATGAAGGTGAGGCAGGCTCTACTACATGAAGGTGAGGCAGGCTCTACCACATGAAAGTAAGGCAGGCTCTACCACATGAAAGTGAGGCAGACTCTACCACATAAAGGTGAGGCAGGCTCTACCACATGAAGGTGAGGCAGGCTCTACCACTTAAAGGTGAGGCAGGCTCTACCACATGAAGGTGAGGCAGGCTCTACCACATGAAGGTGAGGCAGGCTCTACCACATGAAGGTGAGGCAGGCTGTACCACATGAAGGTGAGGCAGGCTCTACCACGTTAAGGTGAGGCAGGCTCTACCACACGAAGGTGAGGCAGACTCTACCACATAAAGGTGAGGCAGGCTCTACCACGTTAAGGTGAGGCAGGCTTTACCACACGAAGGTGAGGCAGGCTCTACCACATGAAGGTGAGGCAGACTCTACCACATGAAGGTGAGGCAGACTCTACCACATGAAGGTGAGGCAGGCTCTACCACATGAAGGTGAGGCAGGCTCTACCACATGAAGGTGAGGCAGGCTCTACCACATGAAGGTGAGGCAGGCTCTACCACATGAAAGTGAGGCAGGCTCTACCACATGAAAGTGAGGCAGACTCTACCACATAAAGGTGAGGCAGGCTCTACCACATGAAGGTGAGGCAGGCTCTACCACATGAAGGTGAGGCAGGCTCTACCACATGAAGGTGAGGCAGGCTCTACAACATGAAGTTGGGGCAGGCTCTACAACATGAATTTTAGGGAGGCTCTACCACACAATGTTGAGGCAGGCACTATGTTAAGGTAAGGCAGGCTCCACCACACGAAGGTGAGACAGACTCTACCACATTAAGGTGAGGCAGGCTCTACCACGTTAAGGTGAGGCAGGCTCTACCACGTTAAGGTGAGGCAGGCTCTACCACGTTAAGGTGAGGCAGGCTCTACCACGTTAAGGTGAGGCAGGCTCTACCATGTTAAGGTGAAGCAGGCTCTACCACGTTAAGGTTAGGCCGGCTCTACCACATGAAGGTGAGGCAGTCACTACCACATGAAGGTGAGGCAGGCTCTACCACATAAAGGTGAGGCAGGCTCTACCACATGAAAGTGAGGCAGGCTCTACCACATGAAGGTGAGGCAGGCTGTACCACATGAAGGTAAGGCAGGCTCCACCACATGAAGGTGAGGCAGGCTCTACCACATGAAGGTGAGGCAGGCTCCACCACATGAAGGTGAGGCAGGCTCTACCACATGAAGGTGAGGCAGGCTCTACCACATGAAGGTGAGGCAGACTCTACCACATGAAGGTGAGGCAGACTCTACCACATGAAGGTGAGGCAGGCTGTTCCACATGAAAGTGAGGCAGGCTCTACCACATAAAGGTGAGGCAGGCTCTACCACATAAAGGTGAGGCAGGCTCTACCACATAAAGGCGAGGCAGGCTCTACCACATAAAGGTGAGGCAGGCTCTACCACATAAAGGTGAGGCAGGCTCTACCACATAAAGGTGAGGCAGGCTCTACCACATGAAGGTGAGGCAGGCTCTACCACATAAAGGTGAGGCAGGCTCTACCACATAAAGATGAGGCAGGCTCTACCACATGAAGGTGAGACAGGCTGTACCACATGAAGGTGAGACAGGCTCTACCACATGAAGATGAGGCAAACTCTACCACATGAAAGTGAGGCAGGCTCTACCACATGAAGGTGAGGCAGGCTCTACCACATGAAGGCGAGGCTGGCTTGAGGAAGAGAGGCCCAGAGACATTAAGAGTCCTAGGCATCACCGCCCCACTAATATTGATACTCTCAGCCTCTGCCAAAGTGAGCATAATGCAGTCTGTGGAGTGGAGGGCTGGCGCAACATCATCTGTGCACTTACGCTGTGCCAACATTAAGATAAAACAACACTGTGTGGCGTGGGAAGACCTACTCAGCAGGTATCTGTACACTCACCCTGTGCTAACATCAAGATGAAACAGTACAGTGTGGCGTAGGAAGACCGACTCAGCAGGTATCTGTACACTCACCCAGTGCCAGCATCAAAATGAAACAATACTGTGTGGCGTAGAAAGACCGACTCAGCAGGTATCTGTGCACTCACCCTGTGCCAACATTAAGATGAAACAATACTGTGTGGCGTAGGAAGACCGACTCAGCAAGTATCTGTACACTCACCCTGACTATCTGCCCCATGTTCACAGACACATAGATCCAGGTGTAGAGAGGGCGGAACTCCAGCTTCTCCAGGCGATAGGCTACACTGTTTAAACCGTCCACATCCTGACGTATCTGTGTTGTCCGGAACAATTTGAATCTGTATCAAACAACCGAAACCACATCTCAGGATCAAGCTACATTATTTCCTGATACAGTCAGCAACGTGTATTTTAATACTGACACTTTCTGTCAGTCTATGCTTGACCTCATCCTCAGCAGGTATACATCATTGCACCGTCACCTCCTCACGTCATCATCAGGTATACATCATTGCACTGTCACCTCCTCACGTCATCATCAGGTATACATCATTGCACCGTCACCTCCTCACGTCATCATCAGGTATACATCATTGCACTGTCACCTCCTCACGTCATCATCAGGTATACATCATTGCACCGTCACCACCTCACATCATCATCAGGTATACATCATTGCACCGTCACCACCTCACGTCACCATCATCAGGTATACATCATTGCACCGTCACCACCTCACGTCATCATCAGGTATACATCATTGCACCGTCACCTCCTCACGTCATCATCAGGTATACATCATTGCACCGTCACCTCCTCACGTCATCATCATCAGGTATACATCATTGCACCGTCACCTCCTCACGTCATCTTCAGGTATACATCATTGCACCGTCACCACCTCACGTCATCATCATCAGGTATACATCATTGCACCGTCACCACCTCACATCATCATCAGGTATACATCATTGCACCGTCACCACCTCACATCATCATCAGGTATACATAATTACACTGTCACCACCTCACATCATCATCAGGTATACATCATTGCACCGTCCCCTCCTCACGTCACCATCATCAGGTATACATCATTGCACCGTCCCCTCCTCACGTCACCATCATCAGGTATACATCATTGCACCGTCACCACCTCACGTCATCATCAGGTATACATCATTGCACCGTCACCACCTCACGTCATCATCATCAGGTATACATCATTGCACCGTCACCACCTCACGTCATCATCAGGTATACATCATTGCACCGTCACCACCTCACATCATCATCAGGTATACATCATTGCACCGTCACCACCTCACGTCATCATCATCAGGTATACATCTTTGCACCGTCATCACCTCACGTCATCATCAGGTATACATCATTGCACCGTCACCACCTCACGTCATCATCATCAGGTATACATCATTGCACCGTCACCACCTCACGTCATCATCATCAGGTATACATCATTGCACCGTCACCACCTCACGTCATCATCAGGTATACATCATTGCACCGTCACCACCTCACGTCATCATCATCATTTATACATCATTGCCCCGTCACCACCTCACGTCATCATCATCATTTATACATCATTGCACCGTCACCACCTCACGTCATCATCAGGTATACATCATTGCACCGTCACCACCTCACATCTTCATCAGGTATACATCATTGCACCGTCACCACCTCACGTCATCATCATCAGGTATACATACCTGCACCGTCACCACCTCACATCGTCATCAGGTATACATACCTGCACCGTCACCACCTCACGTCATCATCATCAGGTATACATCATTGCACCGTCACCACCTCACGTCATCATCATCAGTTATACATCACTGCACCGTCACCACCTCACGTCATCATCATCAGGTATACATCATTGCACCGTCACCACCTCACGTCATCATCATCAGGTATACATCACTGCACCGTCACCACCTCACGTCATCATCATCAGGTATACATCATTGCACCGTCACCACCTCACGTCATCATCATCAGGTATACATCATTGCACCGTCACCACCTCACATCATCATCAGGTATACATCATTGCACCGTCACCACCTCACATCATCAGCAGGTATACATCATTGCACCGTCACCACCTCACGTCATCATCAGGTACACATCATTGCACCGTTACCACCTCACGTCATCATCATCATCGGGTATACATCATTGCACCGTCACCACCTCACGTCATCATCATTTGCTAGCCAGAGACTGGTGCTTTAGCTATTGGACCATGTATGTTATTACAATGACACCCCAAGCCCCAATCCCCAAGCCCCAAGCCATCTATGACACTCTCAGACTTGTGCTTGAACACGAATCGCATTGTCTGACACTTGCATTTATTATTTAAGCATTTCAAGATAGACCAGTACTTGTTGATTCGGTGCGGTCTGTGGTGAGCACTGTCAGACAGACCAGTACTTGTTGATTCTGTGCTGTCTGTGGTGAGCACTGTCAGATAGACCAGTACTTGTTGATTCGGTGCTGTCTGTGGTGAGCACTGTCAGATAGACCAGTACTTGTTGATTCTGTGCTGTCTGTGGTGAGCACTGTCAGATAGACCAGTACTTGTTGATTCGTTGCTGTCTGTGGTGAGCACTGTCAGACAGACCAGTACTTGTTGATTCTGTGCTGTCTGTGGTGAGCACTGTCAGACAGACCAGTACTTGTTGATTCGGTGCTGTCTGTAGTGAGCACTGTCAGATAGACCAGTACTTGTTGATTCTGTGCTGTCTGTAGTGAGCACTGTCAGATAGACCAGTACTTGTTGATTCTGTGCTGTCTGTGGTGAGCACTGTCAGATAGACCAGTACTTGTTGATTCTGTGCTGTCTGTGGTGAGCACTGTCAGACAGACCAGTACTTGTTGATTCTGTGCTGTCTGTAGTTAGTACTGTCAGATAGACCAGTACTTGTTGATTCTGTGCTGTCTGTAGTGAGCACTGTCAGATAGACCAGTACTTGTTGATTCTGTGCCGTCTGTAGTTAGCACTGTCAGATAGACCAGTACTTGTTGATTCTGTGCTGTCTGTAGTGAGCACTGTCAGATAGATCAGTACTTGTTGATTCTGTGCTGTCTGTGGTGAGCACTGTCAGATAGACCAGTACTTGCTGATTCGGTGCTGTCTGTAGTGAGCACTGTCAGATAGACCAGTACTTGTTGATTCGGTGCTGTCTGTGGTGAGCACTGTCAGATAGACCAGTACTTGTTGATTCGGTGCTGTCTGTGGTGAGCACTGTCAGATAGACCAGTACTTGTTGATTCGGTGCTGTCTGTAGTGAGCACTGTCAGATAGACCAGTACTTGTTGATTCTGTGCTGTCTGTAGTGAGCACTGTCAGATAGACCAGTACTTCTTGATTCTGTGCTGTCTGTGGTGAGCACTGTCAGATAGACGAGTACTTGTTGATTCGGTGCTGTCTGTAGTGAGCACTGTCAGATAGACGAGTACTTGTTGATTCGGTGCTGTCTGTAGTGAGCACTGTCAGATAGACGAGTACTTGTTGATTCGGTGCTGTCTGCATTGGATGACTTAGAACATGACACACCCATTGCATTCTGTTCTCTTATCTTTTTGTTCGGTTGCGAACGGGCACATAGATATAAGGTTCAGTCGTTAGTTAGTTGCTGCCATCTCAAGGGCAAGTTGTGTACTTACAGCTCCATACTAAATGAATGCCGGAAAGCTAATCCCATGAGGATTTATAATAATTTGTTTAAAGCATCACATATATTCACATTAATTACTACCAGTTACATTTTGCCCTCGATCCCCCCGTCCCAATTATGCGGCCCTGTGCACCCGCACATCTCGCACAAGCTTAAATATGCCCTAACGATGTGACAGGTAATAGTAACACATGATGATGATGATGTGTTTCATATCAGATGTTTTACACGTCAATTGGCAATTCTCTCAGTCACAGATGTAAAGGCACATACTTCAGGAAGGGTAACCAGGGTTGTTTGTGTCACCCCCACAGCAGGGGAGATAGTACAACACAAGAGAAACGCACATACTTCAGGAAGGGTAACTAGGATTGTTTGTGTCACCCCCACAGCAGGGGAGATAGTACAACACAAGAGAAACGCACATACTTCAGAAAGGGTAACTAGGATTGTTTGTGTCACCCCCACAGCAGGGGAGATAGTACAACACAAGAGAAACGCACATACTTCAGAAAGGGTAACTAGGATTGTTTGTGTCACCCCCACAGCAGTGGAGATGGTACAACACAAGAGAAACGCACATACTTTAGGAAGGGTAACCAGGATTGTTTGTGTCACCCCCACAGCAGGGGAGATAGTACAACACAAGAGAAACGCACATACTTCAGGAAGGGTAACTAGGATTGTTTGTGTCACCCTCACAGCAGGGAAGATAGTACAACACAAGAGAAACGCACATACTTCAGGAAGGGTAACCAGGATTGTTTGTGTCACCCCCACATGAGGAAAGATATACAACACAAGAGAAACGCACATACTTCAGGAAGGATAACCAGGATTGTTTGTGTCACCCCTACAGCAGGTGAGATAGAACAACACAAGAGAAACGCACATACTTCAGGAAGGATAACCGGGGTTGTTTGTGTCACCCTCACAGGAGGGGAGATAGTACAACACAAGAGAAAGGCACACATTGATGACAGAAGCCTCTACCTGTCCGGAAACTCTTCATTGCCCTTGTCTCTGTCATGCTTGAAGCTGTAGTATTGCCCGATGACCACTGGGTAGCGGACATGCTTGTAGCCTTTGAGTTGACATCTGGTCAAGAAACACCAGCTCATCAACAACGCGGTTCCATTGTTTTCTTTTACGTACAAACGAACATCAATCACGTTTAAAAAAGTAACTTTCTCCTCCTCCTCACGTGTACTCACCATCTGGAATCTTCGGTCGATGAACCGACAATACAGGCCCATGCAGGAACATTGACAACAATTATATATAAAGAACAATTATGAATACACAACAATTATGTATACACAACAATTACAAATACACAACAATTATATATACAGAACAATTATGTATACAGAATATTTATATATACAAAACAATTATATATATACAGAACAATTATATAAACAGAACACTTATATATATATACAAAACAATTATATATATACACAACAATTATATATACAGAACAATTATATACACAGAACAATTATATATACAGAACAATTATATATACAGAACAATTATATATACAGAACAATTATATATACAGAACAATTATATAAACAGAACACTTATATATACAGAACAATTATATATACAGAACAATTATATAAACAGAACAATTATATAAACAGAACACTTATATATATACAGAACAATTATATATACAGAACAATTATATATACAGAACAATTATATATACAGAACAATTATACATACAGAACAATTATATTTATATTTACAACAATTATATGTACACAAAAATAATATATACAAAACAATTATATATACACAACAATTATATATATATAATATATAATATATATATATATATATATATATTATATATATATATATATATATATATATATATATATATATATATACAGAACAATTATATGTACACAAAAATTATATATACAAAACAATTATATATATATATATATACAACAAATATATATATACAACAATTATATGTACACAAAAATTATATATACAAAACAATTATATATATACAACAATTACATGCACACGACAATTATATATACAAACAAATATATATTCACAACAATTACATGTACACAACAACTATACATACACAACAATTATATATACACAACAATTACATGTACACAACAACTATACATACACAACAATTATACATACACAACAATTATATATACACAACAATTATATGTACACAAAAATTATATATACAGAACACTTATATATACAGAACAATTATAAAATTATAATATATATATATATTCAAACGTATCATCTTAGGTTAAAGAAGTCACGGCTAAACTGTAGGTAATGTCTTCATAACTGACATTGTTTCTTCTTATTCACATTTTCTAGAAAATCATTCCTGCATAAACAGCTGCCACGACGTTTGATAGGAACATTAAATACCGAACAGGCTTGCACCAATGTAAGTATGGGACAGTCGCGCAGCTGTTGCAAACACTTGCCTGCTTCTGGCATATCAAGAGAGTGGCCCGTGTCCCAGGTTCAAGCATGTCTGGTTGACATCTAAGCACTTCTACCCAAACACACTTTGCCTGAAGGGTCAGATGGTCTCTAGCCTCCCCCAGCAAGAAACACCTGAAACCAAGGCAACAGCCAGTAACTGACAAAACCACCCAACACTCACAACAAAGAAAATGACTGACCTGAGATAGAATCCACCATCACTGACAACAGACACAATGACTGACCTGAGATAGAATCCACCATCACTGACAACAGACACAATGACTGACCTGAGATAGAAACCACCATCATTGACAACAGACACAATGACTGACCTGAGATAGAAACCACCATCACTGACAACAGACACAATGACTGACCTGAGATAGAAACCACCATCATTGACAACAGACACAATGACTGACCTGAGATAGAAACCACCATCACTGACAACAGACACAATGACTGACCTGAGATAGAAACCACCATCAGATAGAAACCACCATCACTGACAACAGACACAATGACTGACCTGAGATAGAAACCACCCACCACTGACAACAGACACAATGACTGACCTGAGATAGAAACCACCATCACTGACAACAGACACAATGACTGACCTGAGATAGAAACCAACATCACTGACAACAGACACAATGACTGAACTGAGATAGAAACCACCATCACTGACAACAGACACAAGGACTGACCTGAGATAGAAACCACCATCACTGACAACAGACACAATGACTGACCTGAGATAGAAACCACCATCACTGACAACAGACACAATGACTGACCTGAGATAGAAACAACCATCACTGACAACAGACACAATGACTGACCTGAGATAGAAACCACCCACCACTGACAACAGACACAATGACTGACCTGAGATAGAAACCACCATCACTGACAACAGACACAATGACTGACCTGAGATAGAAACCACCATCACTGACAACAGACACAATGACTGACCTGAGATAGAAACCACCCACCACTGACAACAGACACAATGACTGACCTGAGATAGAAACCACCATCACTGACAACAGACACAAGGACTGACCTGAGATAGAAACCACCATCACTGAAAACAGACACAATGACTGACCTGAGATAGAAACCACCATCACTGACAACAGACACAATGACTGACCTGAGATAGAAACCACCATCACTGACAACAGACACAATGACTGACCTGAGATAGAAACCACCATCACTGACAACAGACACAATGACTGACCTGAGATATAAACCACCATCACTGACAACAGACACAATGACTGACCTGAAATAGAAACCTCCATCATTGACAACAGACACAATCACCGACCTGAGATAGATACAACAGACCAATCCTGAGATAGAAACCACCAACCACTCGACAACAGACACAATGATGACCTGAGATAGAAACCACCACATCACTGACAACAGACACAATGATTGACCTGAGATAGAAACCACCAACACTGACAACAGACACAATGACTGACCTGAGATAGAAGCACCTCGTCACCGACAACAGACACAATGACTGACCTGCGATAGATACCACCCATCACTGACAACAGACACAATGACTGACCTGAGATAGAAGCCACTCGTCACTGACAACAGACATAATGACTGACCTGAGATACAAGCCACTCGTCACTGACAACAGACATAATGACTGACCTGAGATAGAAACCACCATCACTGACAGCAGACACAATGACTGACCTGAGATAGAAACCACTCGCCACTGACAACAGATACAATGACTGACCTGAGATAGAAGCCACTCGTCACTGACAACAGACACAATGACTGACCTGAGATAGAAACCACCTATCACTGACAACAGACACAATGACTGACCTGAGATAGAAACCACCTATCACTGACAACAGACACAATGACTGACCTGAGATAGAAACCACCAATCACTGACAACAGACACAATGACTGACCTGAGATAGAAACCACCATCATTGACAACAGACAGAATGACCACCTGAGATAGATACCACCCATCACTGACAACAGACACAATGACTGACCTGAAATAGAAGCCACTCGTCACTGACAACAGACATAATGACTGACCTGAGATAGAAACCACCATCACTGACAGCAGACACAATGACTGACCTGAGATAGAAACCACTCGCCACTGACAACAGACACAATGACTGACCTGAGATAGAAGCCACTCGTCACTGACAACAGACACAATGACTGACCTGAGATAGAAACCACCTATCACTGACAACAGAACAATGACTGACCTGAGATAGAAACCACCCGTCACTGACAACAGACACAATGACTGACCTGAGATAGAAACTACCATCACTGACAACAGACACAATGACTGGCCTAAGATAGAAACCACCTATCACTGACAACAGACACAATGACTGACCTGAGATAGAAACCACCTATCACTGACAACAGACACAATGACTGACCTGAGATAGAAACCACTCGCCACTGACAACAGACACAATGACTGACCTGAGATAGAAACCACCATCATTGGCAACAGACACAATGATTGACCTGAGATAGAAACCACCCACCACTCACAACAGACACAATGATTGACCTGAGATAGATACCACCAATCACCGACAACAGACACAAGGACTGACCTGCGATAGATACCACCCATCACTGACAACAGACACAATGACTGACCTGAGATAGAAACCACCCGTCACTGACAACAGACACAATGACTGACCTGAGATAGAAACTACCATCACTGACAACAGACACAATGACTGGCCTAAGATAGAAACCACCATCACTGACAACAGACACAATGACTGACCTGAGATAGAAACCACCCGTCACTGACAACAGACACAAGGACTGACCTGAGATAGAAACCACTCGGCACTGACAACAGACACAAGGACTGATCTGAGATAGAAACCACTCGTCACTGACAACAGACACAAGGACTGACCCGAGATAGAAACCACTCGTCACTGACAACAGACACAAGGACTGACCTGAGATAGAAACCACTCGTCACTGACAACAGACAAAAGGACTGATCTGAGATAGAAACCACTCGTCACTGACAACAGACACAAGAACTGACCCGAGATAGAAACCACCATCACTGACAACAGACACAAGGACTGACCTTAGATAGAAACCACTCGTCACTGAGAACAGACACAAGGACTAACCTGAGATAGAAACCACCATCACTGACAACAGACACAAGGACTGACCCGAGATAGAAACCACCATCACTGACAACAGACACAATGACTGACCTGAGATAGAAACCACCATCACTGACAACAGACACAAGGACTAACCTGAGATAGAAACCACTCGTCACTGACAACAGACACAAGGACTAACCTGAGATAGAAACCACTCGTCACTGACAACAGACACAAGGACTGACCTGAGATAGAAACCACTCGTCACTGACAACAGACACAATGACTGACCTGAGATAGAAACCACTCGTCACTGACAACAGACACAATGACTGACCTGAGATAGAAACCACTCGTCACTGACAACAGACATAATGACTGACCTGAGATAGAAACCACCATCACTGACAACAGACACAAGGACTGACCTGAGATAGAAACCACTCGTCACTGACAACAGACACAAGGACTGACCTGAGATAGAAACCACTCGTCACTGACAACAGACATAATGACTGACCTGAGATAGAAACCACCATCACTGACAACAGACATAATGACTGACCTGAGATAGAAACCACCATCACTGACAACAGACATAATGACTGACCTGAGATAGAAACCACCATCACTGACAACAGACACAAGGACTGACCCGAGATAGAAACCACCATCACTGACAACAGACACAAGGACTGACCCGAGATAGAAACCACCCGTCACTGACAACAGACACAAGGACTGACCTGAGATAGAAACCACCATCACTGACAACAGACACAAGGACTGACCCGAGATAGAAACCACCATCACTGACAACAGACATAATGACTGACCTGAGATAGAAACCACCCGTCACTGACAACAGACACAATGACTGACCTGAGATAGAAACCACCATCACTGACAACAGACACAATGACTGACCTGAGATAGAAACCACCATCACTGACAACAGACACAAGGACTGACCTGAGATAGAAACCACCATCACTGACAACAGACACAAGGACTGACCTGAGATAGAAACCACTCGTCACTGACAACAGACACAAGGACTGACCTGAGATAGAAACCACTCGTCACTGACAACAGACATAATGACTGACCTGAGATAGAAACCACCATCACTGACAACAGACATAATGACTGACCTGAGATAGAAACCACCATCACTGACAACAGACATAATGACTGACCTGAGATAGAAACCACCATCACTGACAATAGACACAAGGACTGACCCGAGATAGAAACCACCCGTCACTGACAACAGACACAAGGACTAACCTGAGATAGAAACCACCATCACTGACAACAGACACAAGGACTGACCCGAGATAGAAACCACCATCACTGACAACAGACATAATGACTGACCTGAGATAGAAACCACCCGTCACTGACAACAGACACAAGGACTGACCTGAGATAGAAACCACCATCACTGACAATAAACACAAGGACTGACCTAAGATAGAAACCACCCGTCACTGACAACAGACACAAGGACTAACCTGAGGTAGAGATCATCGTCTTCTCCTCCCCAGCCAAAGAACAGATTTGAGTGCCCATTGATGCGCTGGTATTGCTCACGTGCCATACCCACCACCCCGCCAAAGTAGCGCTCATACGGCAACCTAAAATAAAAACACAGACACATTGTATTGCATCGATCATGCATATTATCCTTACACCCCTCACTGGCTTAGCAGTAAGGAGAAAAAAACCATGCTAAATAGTGTTCACATGAGACAAGAGTTCTCCCACAGGAGAAATTGTCGACGACAACAGTGCCAGAACATGCCGGGAGAGTTTGTGGCTGGACTCAGCACAGCAGAGACCTCCCTGTGTGGGTGTGTGGGTTACTGTGTCCCATTGTGGGGAAAATAAGAATACACTCAATACCTTTCCAACGAGCATGTCGTAGGAGTCGACTGATTAGGGCACCCTTGTAAGTCTAAGTACATCTGCTGAAGAGACAAGCAGGCCAGTTGTTGAAAGCTGACTAAGTCAGACCGACAAGTCAGGAAAGTTGTTGAAAGCTGACTAACACAGACTGACAAGTCAGGCCAGTTGTTGAAAGCTGACTAACACAGACTGACAAGTCAGGCCAGTTGTTGAAAGCTGACTAACACAGACTGACAAGTCAGGACAGCTGTTGAAAGCTGACTATGACAGACTGACAAGTCAGGCCAGTTGTTGAAAGCTGACTAAGACAGACCGACAAGTCAAGACAGTTGTTGAAAGCTGACTATGACAGACTGACAAGTCAGGCCAGTTGCTGAAAGCTGATCATGACAGACTGACAAGTCAGGCCAGTTGTTGAAAGCTGATCATGACAGACTGACCAATCAGGCCAGTTGTTGAAAGCTGACAAAGACAGACGGACAAGTCAGGCCAGTTGTTGAAAGCTGACTAACACAGACTGACCAGTCAGGCCAGTTGTTGAAAGCTGACTAAGACATCACTTGAGTTAGGAGCTGGGAGACCACAGGCAAGATCAGCACCAGTACAAACATGAAACAATTAGGATGCCTGTGTCGTGGAGTGAACAGCCAACCCTACACTGTGGACTAGTCGTGACGCTGACATTCCTAGCGGACACCTCACATTTCAAATTTTAACCCGTCGTGGGGGAGGGGGGGGGGGTATATAGTCCCTCATATTGATATATACCTCTATCTGGTGAAACAAAAATTTCTATACCCTCTAGTTGTTTTGAGAAGTCTACATTTTCAAACTTGCAACTGTTGGATAAATATTTCTTGAATTTTATTCAAAAATTCCCGTAAGCCTTTTTACTCCTTGGGTACGAATACAGGACTTCTTTTCTAGAGACGCCAAGCGGAATCTGGGGCGGGCATTCTTTTGCCAGACCTCTGAGGTGTCGGGAGACATTTTAATTCTCTTAAACTTTGACGCTTTCAAAATACCAGTTTAATCTTTGAAGGATTCCAAAGCTTGGGATGATATCTCCTTAGAAGTCAGGCAGACGAATCACAGTCCAACCAACAATCACCAACCCATACCATGCCTATTACCAAACCCACCTAAAACCCTACCTATTGTTGCCAGAACTTCAACATGACAGGAGCTATCGTGTGAGTTCCAATGGCTGAGAGACAGTATTGCAGGCCACCTGCGTCATCAATCCAAGGAATCCTTCTTCAGGAGCTTTGTTTGGCTTCAGTGCAGTTCCTTTGTCTTCATATGTGAGACGATCAGTGTGTACCAGGTCAACCCGAGGAAAAGCGATCTATTGAGTCAGCCGGTTCAAATCATCATGGACTGAGGGGAGCAGTGACCTATCAAATCTGATAAGTAACATCTGAGATGACATGCCATATGCTCCATTTACATGGCTACCTATGATTCACTGTGATGATTCATGTACTCTCTGTGAACTATTTGGCTGTTTCAACACTTTCTCTGTGACGTTAAGTCCTTAACTCCATTCACTGGAAACAATCTTAATTGTCTTGAGATATATATATATATATATATATATATATATATATATATATATATATATATATATATATATATATATATATATATATATATATATATATGTTGCAATTATTACTTACAATCAGAAATTTTCATGGCTGACTTGGATGTCCCTGTTTCACCATTCTAACTGTCTAGCTTTTATGTTTGTGTGATTAGTAAGTGTAATCGTGTTAACATAACATGGCTATGATAGTATACTATCATAGCCTGGAAGCTATCTTTTTATAGTAGTGGGGTGTCCAGCCAAGTGTGCCTAGGAATATTAGATATTCTGTAGTGCCAGAGCTTGAGTTGCCCTACTCCTGAAATAAGTTGAGCGTATATTGGCCACGGGATCTCCCTTAGACCAATACGAGCCTACGCCTCAACATTATTATTTCAGAGTGCTGTTGGTTCTTAAGGAGCAATCCTTAAATCAGGCACGCGACACGAGCGGTATGTGAAAGCCTGTACTCCAGCATGTGCCGAAAGAGACAGAGCATCTACATGTATGCCTCTAGTGCTGAATATATCTAGACTGTTGTTGGCCAAACAGACATTACACCAGAGACCAAAACATGGAACAAAATGAGAGTTAACACGCGGTAGCTAACGCCTTGAATGGGAAATTTGATACAACTGAAGTACTGTCTATGGTAAAGTCGAGTGGTCACTGCTGACGTAACGACCACACAGAAAAGAACACCTTAAAGTTGATGAAGGAGATGAAATGTCTAGGGTTGTCCCCACACGTGTACAGACAGCTAACGTGACGACCACACAAAAACCAACCCCTTAAAGTTGATGGAGGAGATGAAATGTCTAGGGTTGTCCCCACATGTATTCATGCAGCTAACGTGACGACCACACAGACACCAACCCCTTGAAGTTGATAGAGGAGATGAAATGTTTAGGGTTGTCCCCACATGTGTACAGACAGCTAACGTGACGACCACACAGAAACAAACCCCTTAAAGTTGATGGAGGAGACGAAATGTCTAGGATTGTCCCCACATGTGTAAAGATAGCTAACGTGACGACCACACAGAAACGAACCCCTTAAAGTTGATGGAGGAGATGAAATGTATAGGGTTGTCTCCACATGTGTACAGACAGCTAACGTGACGACCACACAGAAACGAACCCCTTAAAGTTGATGGAGGAGATGAAATGTCTAGGGTTGTCTCCACATGTGTACAGACAGCTAACGCGACGACCACACAGAAACCAACCCCTTAAAGTTGATGGAGGAGATGAAATGTCTAGGGTTGTCTCTACATGTGTACAGACAGCTAACGTGACGACCACACAAAAACCAACCCCTTAAAGTTGATGGACGAGATGAAATGTCTAGGGTTGTCTCCACATGTGTACAGACAGCTAACGTAACGACCACACAGAAACGAACTCCTTAAAGTTGATGGAGGAGATGAAATGTCTAGGGTTGTCTCTACATGTGTACAGACAGCTAACGTGACGACCACACAAAAACCAACCCCTTAAAGTTGATGGACGAGATGAAATGTCTAGGGTTGTCTCCACATGTGTACAGACAGCTAACGTAACGACCACACAGAAACGAACTCCTTAAAGTTGATGGAGGAGATGAAATGTCTAGGGTTGTCTCCACATGTGTACAGACAGCTAACGTGACGACCACACAGACACCAACCCCTTAAAGTTGATGGAGGAGATGAAATGTCTAGGGTTGTCCCCACACGTGTACAGACAGCTAACGTGACGACCACACAGAAACCAACCCCTTAAAGTTGATGGAGGAGATGAAATGTCTAGGGTTGTCTCTACATGTGTACAGACAGCTAACGTGACGACCACACAGAAACCAACCCCTTAAAGTTGATGGAGGAGTTGAAATGTCTAGGGTTGTCCCCACACGTGTACAGACAGCTAACGTGACGACCACACAGAAACCAACCCCTTAAAGTTGATGGAGGAGATGAAATGTCTAGGGTTGTCTCCACACGTGTACAGACAGCTAACGCGACGACCACACAGAAACCAACCCCTTAAAGTTGATGGAGGAGATGAAATGTCTAGGGTTGTCTCTACATGTGTACAGACAGCTAACGTGACGACCACACAAAAACCAACCCCTTAAAGTTGATGGAGGAGATAAAATGTCTAGGGTTGTCCCCACACGTGTACAGACAGCTAACGTGACGACCACACAGAAACCAACCCCTTAAAGTTGATGGAGGAGATGAAATGTCTAGGGTTGTCCCCACACGTGTACAGACAGCTAACGTGACGACCACACAGAAACCAACCCCTTAAAGTTGATGGAGGAGTTGAAATGTCTAGGGTTGTCCCCACACGTGTACAGACAGCTAACGTGACGACCACACAGAAACCAACCCCTTAAAGTTGATGGAGGAGATGAAATGTCTAGGGTTGTCTCCACACGTGTACATGCAGCCGTCGTGGGTGGGAATCATATCTACGTCGTGGAAGATAAAACAATCGAAGTGGTCCACTTTACGGGACTCCAGGAAGCCGATGTTGAACAAGGAACCTCGGTTGAAAATTGTGGGCTGTGCCTGCAGTCAGACATGAAGCAATGTGCAGCAAATAACAGGTCAGCTTTTCTTGTAGCAGAGAGCATAGATTTTAATGATACAGTGATCACATACGTTAGGATAGGTTTATATCACAAGGGTTAGGGTTGTCATAGTCCTTTATCTAGCTCAGGGCAAAGTCAATCTGCTTGAGGCTGCTGTTTGAGAATTACTGTTTCTCCGAATGTCGTTGGTGTATCACAAGAAATACAGCTCTGAAGCGAACTCTCGGTTGTGATTGAACTGTATAGATTTATGTGTATACGCGTGTTTGATGTTGAATCTTGTATATAATCCAAATCACTAGCACACAACACAACTGGGCCACCCTAGAGCAATGCCCATGTCCTTTACAGTGAATACACTGAGTGGACAGCAACTAAAGGTAAAAGTTCAAGGTTCACTGACCCGCCCCCCACCATGGACTATGGTGGTCTATCAGGACCACCCATCTTCACTACTGACACACGTGTTCTAACTACCGATGTTGACTCACTCAGCAATTTGGATGGACCCTCCAACTTACCTTAACTGGTTCCATAGGCAAAGATGATAAATAACAGGATAGGTCACGTTGCATTTGATATCAAGAGGCTCTTATTCAATAAATCAATGCCATTAGCAGTTTGAAAAAAAAAAACGATTGTCGCATGCTAAAAAGAGTTAGTTGTAGCAGAGGCTGTCGATCTTTTTTTCAATTGTGAGAAGAGAGTTAGAGGAAGATAACGCCAGACGATTCTGGACAGATTTTTGCCATGGCTTGGGTATGGGGGCTGTCAGCACCTGATGTGGTAGATACTGTTGGAGATTGCAGGTTGCGGAGAGGCATGATCGTCCACCCCAGTCGGCAAGACACTTGCTGATGATAAAGTTGCTTGGCAGTAAAGACGGTCGGTTACATTTCTAATTAAAATCAACATTAAAACATTAGGTATATGAACAGACAGACACTACAACAATAGGTATATGAACTGATAGACACTACAACATAAGGTATACGAACAGATAGACAGTACAACATTAAGTATATGAACAGACACTACAACATTGGGTTTATGAACAGATAGACACCACAGCATTAGGTATATGAACAAATAGACACTATAACAATAGGTATATGAACAGACAGACACTACAACATTAGGTATATGAACAGAGATACACTACAAGATTAGGTATATGAACATAAAGACACTACAACATTGGGTATATATGAACAGATACTACAACATTAGGTATATGAACAGACAGACACTACAACATTAGGTATATGAACAGACAGACAATACAACATTAGGTAAATGAACAGACAGACACTACAACAGTAGGTCTATGAACAGACAGACACTACAACATTAGGTATATGAACAGACAGACACTACAACATTAGGTAAATGAACAGACAGACATGACAACATTAGGTATATTAACAGACAGAAACTACAACATTAGGTTCATGAACAGACAGACACTACAACATTAGGTTCATGAACAGACAGACACTACAACAAAAGTGTTTACCTGCTCCACAACAAAAACGACAGCATCAACCAACTGCCGGTGCAGCAATGGTATCAAATTATTGAGAAGTACATGCAGGTGCTGGCTGCGGGCCCGGAATGGGATGATGATGGCCACTCTAAGATAAAGAACAGATGCAACTGCAGCAAACAGGGGCTCTGTTTGTAATGAGTTATCTCCACTGACACCACAGCACGTTCGGCATTTCCATGTGTGCTTAACCCCCTGTTGCACAAATCCCTAAAGACAGCTCTACTTGTTTATGGTCTCAATCAAGTATTTCTCTTTGACATAGTGGACGGTCACTTTAGCATATTCTGACCATCCTATCGAGCACATGGAAAACATACAGACAGACAGGAGAGTGTAAAGTTACAAGTTCCATCTGTACTGTTGGTTGACTCAGAGTCTGTTAAGGTGCCAGGCATTTCATGAAATATTTTGTTTTTGTAGATTTGCTGTCATGGCTAGACAGTTGTTTGTACTAGCCTAACGTCAACGTGTGTATCTCTCTCTCTCTCTCTCTCTCTCTCTCTCTCTCTCTCTGTGTGTGTGTGTGTGTGTATATATATATATATATATATATATATATATATATATATATATATATATATATATGCAAAACATATGCCCGCGCACACTCACACACGCACACGATAAAGAGCTCAAGCAGATATAACAGATACAAGAGACAGTAAGCAGATATAACAGATAGAAGAGACAGTAAGCAGATATAAGATGACGGCAGGTAATGACTAAGTGACGTTCAAGTCCACCAAGCCCGCACAACAAGAGATGAATGTTCGTTGATACAAAGTGCCACCATTCGGATGAGAAGCCCCCTGGCACAAGTCCTAGACACAGTTTTCAACTGCTGTGTTTTATGAAGAGCCCGGACCACAGCAGGGGTGAAGCTTTAAAAAAAAAAAGCCTTCAAAACTGGGACGGAGCTTTCACGAATAAAGGCAGTAAGCAAATACAAAGTAGCGAAATAGATACGATGAATAAGGAAACAAGACATAATAACAACAGACAAAAAACAGCAGACAGATGTGATAAGACAGGAAAAAGACAGACAGACAGTAAGAATAACACAGACAACAAGATGGGAGATGGCACTTAAAGATGACACAACCTACTTCTGATCAGCGAGACATGTCTGGGGTTTGACCCTCCCACCCGGGAGTATGTACGGGTAGCTGGCCAAGATTTGCTCTGGAGTGACCGATTCGGTGGAGATGAGTATCTGTCCAGCTGTAGGAAACAAGCATACACACAGATGTGGCCTTGTCTCAACTGTCTTGTATGATACACACGTCTGAACTGTCTTGTGTGATACACACAGATATGGCCTTGTCTCAACTGTCTTGTGTGATACACACAGATGTGGCCTTGTCTCAACTGTCTTGTGTGATACCCACAGATATGGTCGTGTCTCAACTGTCTTGTGTGATACACACTGATACGGTCTTATCTCAACTGTCTTGTGTGATACACACAGATGTGGTCTTGTCTCATTCTACTCACTGAGGTCAATACCAGTGATTATCTTCAAGACTCAGACAAGACTTCTCCCAGACCCTCAGATAAAGTAAACATCTCCCAGTCTCTAGTCAAAGGCCAGACATCATCTACCAACTTTTCATCGCCTCCATGTTTACATCTACAAGCCGTTCATCGCCTCCATGTTTACATCTACAAGCCGTTCATCGCCTCCATATTTACATCTACCAACCTTTCATCGCCTCCATGTTTACATCTACAAGCTAGTTCATCGCCTCCATGTTTACATCTACAAGCTAGTTCATCGCCTCCATGTTTACATCTACAAGCCGTTCATCGCCTCCATGTTTACATCTACAAGCCGTTCATCGCCTCCATGTTTACATCTACAAGCTAGTTCATCGCCTCCATGTTTACATCTACAAGCTAGTTCATCGCCTCCATGTTTACATCTACAAGCCGCTCATCGCCTCCATGTTTACATCTACAAGCCGTTCATCGCTTCCATGATTACATCTACAAGATAGTTCATCGCCTCCATGTTTATATCTACAAGCTAGTTCATACAAGCTTCATCGCCTCCATCTACAAAGCCTTTCATCGCCTCCATGTTTACATCTACAAGCTAGTTCATCGCCTCCATGTTTACATCTACAAGCTAGTTCATCGCCTCCATGTTTACATCTACAAGCTAGTTCATCGCCTCCATGTTTACATCTACAAGCTAGTTCATCGCCTCCATGTTTACATCTACAAGCTAGTTCATCGCCTCCATGTTTACATCTACAAGCTAGTTCATCGCCTCCATGTTTACATCTACAAGCTAGTTCATCGCCTCCATGTTTACATCTACAAGCCGTTCATCGCCTCCATGTTTACATCTACAAGCTAGTTCATCGCCTCCATGTTTACATCTACAAGCTAGTTCATCGCCTCCATGTTTACATCTACAAGCTAGTTCATCGCCTCCATGTTTACATCTACAAGCTAGTTCATCGCCTCCATGTTTACATCTACAAGCTAGTTCATCGCCTCCATGTTTACATCTACAAGCTAGTTCATCGCCTCCATGTTTACATCTACAAGCTAGTTCATCGCCTCCATGTTTACATCTACAAGCTAGTTCATCGCCTCCATGTTTACATCTACAAGCTAGTTCATCGCCTCCATGTTTACATCTACAAGCCGTTCATCGCCTCCATGTTTACATCTACAAGCTAGTTCATCTCCATGTTTACATCTACATGTTTTTACATCTACAAGCTAGTTCATCGCCTCCATGTTTACATCTACAAGCTAGTTCATCGCCTCCATGTTTACATCTACAAGCTAGTTCATCGCCTCCATGTTTACATCTACAAGCTAGTTCATCGCCTCCATGTTTACATCTACAAGCTAGTTCATCGCCTCCATGTTTACATCTACAAGCTAGTTCATCGCCTCCATGTTTACATCTACAAGCCGTTCATCGCCTCCATGTTTACATCTACAAGCTAGTTCATCGCCTCCATGTTTACATCATGTTTACATCTACAAGCTAGTTCATCGCCTCCATGTTTACATCTACAAGCTAGTTCATCGCCTCCATGTTTACATCTACAAGCTAGTTCATCGCCTCCATGTTTACATCTACAAGCTAGTTCATCGCCTCCATGTTTACATCTACAAGCCTATGTTTACATCTACAAGCTAGTTCATCGCCTCCATGTTTACATCTACAAGCTAGTTCATCGCCTCCATGTTTACATCTACAAGCCGTTCATCGCCTCCATGTTTACATCTACAAGCTAGTTCATCGCCTCCATGTTTACATCTACAAGCTAGTTCATCGCCTCCATGTTTACATCTACAAGCCGCTCATCGCCTCCATGTTTACATCTACAAGCTAGTTCATCGCCTCCATGTTTACATCTACAAGCTAGTTCATCGCCTCCATGTTTACATCTACAAGCTAGTTCATCGCCTCCATGTTTACATCTACAAGCCGTTCATCGCCTCCATCGTTTACATCTACAAGCTAGTTCATCGCCTCCATGTTTACATCTACAAGCTAGTTCATCGCCTCCATGTTTACATCTACAAGCCGCTCATCGCCTCCATGTTTACATCTACAAGCTAGTTCATCGCCTCCATGTTTACATCTACAAGCTAGTTAACGTTTATAGTAGCTTTGGTTTAGAATCTGAGGGCAAATGGATGTGGGGGGGGGGGGGGGGCGAAAAAGGGCACGGATGGGGGAGGGGGGGGGGGGGTAGCAGACGAGCAATGTCTGGTGACTCCTCTACAGCTGATACCTTCCAGCTCAATCACTCGTCAAAGCATGTTTATCTTCTTCCTTTCCTAATACTTGCCAGCCATCAACAGGTTGCCTTCCTCCTCAGTGCCTCATCTGTGATCTTGCTTCACCAAACTGCTCGCAGGAGTCTTGTGTAGACAGCATGTGCTTAGTCAAGTCTGTAGTTTATGTGTAATGTCCGCTGACATGTTCCAACACACACGCACGGTTGTAAAATAGTAATATTGTCAACGTGTAGCTGTTGTATAATCTTAGTGTCGTATTCAAAGTAAATGTTATGAACTTCCAAATATTGGTAAGCACAGCAAATGCTTATATGCCAGATCTTAGCTCAGAACTCTACAATTATATTTTGTAAACATTGAATATGAAAAAAAAAGTGGGGAAACAAACAAACAAACAAACAACAGGTGAATGCATCCATGTGTGTTCAGTAAATACAAGAATCAGAAAGATTATTCTAAGCTATCAGTAAAGACGAATAAATGAAGGAATAAGGGAATGAATGAACACAATGTGAAAACACTGAGGCACCAAGCAAAATGTGACACAACTGATCGTCTGACATGATTCCCTGTATCTCGCCGGATGCAGTAAAACAGGTGTGACATCAACACTTGCGGATATCAGTCGTGGATACGAAAGAAAATAGGGGCGTCTGAGCTGAAATGCTACAGAAAGATTTTAGAATACCATGGACAAGGAAAAAGGAAGAAATACTGACATTCTAAACGATGTAAACACCAAGAAAGATTGTCTAATAAACAGCATCTTTTCTCTCAAGCTAAAACATTTTGGTTGTATTAATTGCTATAGAGGATTGAAAAAAAAAAAAATAAGTAGCAAAAAGGTAGGGCAGCAGTGTGCTAGTGGGAAGAAAGAAAACGAAAATCATGGAAAAGAAATACAAAAAAAGAAATTGTGATTAGGATAAAAAGTTATAGTTCCCCGATGAACCAAAAAAAAAAAAAAAAAAAAAAAACAAACACGAAAGTAAAGAAATGACAAGGGTTTTTCTGCGCAGGGATCCTAAAATATTCAACCATAACCCAGACAAGAATATATAAATAGCGAGTTACATGACAACAAACTAACTAAATTGCTACATTCACCTAGACGAACCACGAACTGCAGATCACAAGTTGAATCAAGTAAATAAATCATAACAATCACATTAAAGAGCTGATCTCAACAAAAAAATTAACATATACTTCACAGATAATACATTAACAACAACCAACGTGCTCGACCAAAATCTAAAGTGCTAATGATCTCCTGCTAACAGG